TTGCCCAAACACCTCTCTACAAGGTCCACCCCCAGAAGTCAATCTTTCATCCCGCATCGACCTGTGGCGGCCCCTCAGCAGGCAGGGGGTCAACGAGGAGGCCTTCCAGAGGTGCTGACATCGGCGAAACGCCTTCTCCAACCTCAATCCTCGAGACGACGACGAGGGGCGATCGACGATCGACGATCAACGCCGATGCCGAAGCCGACGCCGACGCTGGCGCCGCCGCCGCCGCCGCCGCCAACGACAACGACGACGACGACGACGACGACGACGACGACGACGACGACGACGACGACGACGACTGCGGCGGCGAAAACGCCACCGCACACCTCGAGCGGTCCACCGCCGGCAAGATCTCCGAGCACGACGGCCATGGCGTCAGGAAGAACGACCAGGACGACGGCGCGGCGGCAAGCCTTCGAAGCCTTCCCCATCCAGCAGCTTTTCGCATCTGCTGTTGAAGGTCCCAAGGCTTGAAGATGATAAGGGCTCTGGGGGAGACCGGAAGCAGGCCGAAACCGTCCACCATGAGTTGTTTTTTCAATGCGACGGTGTCTGAGGTCCGTCTCAAGAAATCACCCAGGCATAGGCTTTGGCCATGGCCGAGGTCCTGCAAGACGGCGATCAAGGGAAAAACTTGGAGAGAGCGATCAGGAATAATTTTCTGCAGACATGGGGAGACTGTGGAGAGGACGATAAAAGAATCACCAACAGGCCCAGAATCCAGTCTGTGAATCATCGCCCAGGGCGCTGCTGCGTGAGGGGCCCCCCCGGGGCTTTTCGCAATCGCCGTCCCCCTGCAGAGAAAGCCCCCTAAAGGATCCAGGAAGGCCAACAAAAAGATGCGGCCCTCTTGGGCCGTCTGGGGCGCCTCTTGGGCCGTCTTGGCGCCCTCTTCGGCCGTTTTGGGGGCCTCTTGGGAGCCTCTTGGGCCGTCTTGGGGCGGTCGTGGGGGCCTCTTGGACCGTCGTCACCGCCGTGAAAGGCGAAAAGCCGTGTATGCTAAAAAGGTACGTTTTCCCATCGAAAATCTATGATTTTGGCCTCCTGTTGGCCTCGTGGGACGCCTCTTGGAGGCCTCTTGGGGCTTCTCGGGGGGCTGTGGGGCCTCCCGCGAGCGTCTTGGGGCCATAGGCCAGACTGTTCGGTTCGTGGTCCCCCTCCTGGGGCTCCTCGATCTCCAACCCTGGAGCCTCGAGGCTCTGTCGACTGTGCCCGACGCCGCGGCCCCGGCGGCGACGCTGGCGGCGGCGGCGTGCGCGCGCCCCGCACGCGCCTCTCGGGGGTCCTCTGACCCGGGTCAATCCAGACCCGGGCCAGCGGGAAACCAAAACTGCAATGCAGGAAAAAAAAACTGCAACGCAAGTCTTCGCAAACCCGGGTCAGCCAATGCGCGCGGCCGCCTCGCGGCCACGAGCGGCTCCCTAATCCGGGTCAGCCAGAGGGGGTCTTCGCAGGATCCTGCAGGATCTGGCGCCCTGGCTGACCCCCGTTTGCACTGACCCCCGTCTCGAGGCTCCCGAGCTGTGCCCGACGCCGCGGCCCCGGCGGCGACGCTGGCGGCGGCGGCGTGCGCGCGCCCCGCACGCGCCTCGAGCGACCCACGGCCGCCGGGCTCTCCGACCGGGGGCGACCGCGATCCACGGCGGCGGCGGCGTGAGCTCGCAGGCCCGCTGCCCCGGGGGCAGCCCTTGGGCGCCCACCGTATGGCAGGAGGGGGAGGAGGGGGAGGAGGGGGAGGAGGGGGAGGAGGAGGAGGAGGAGGAGGAGGAGGAGGAGGAGGAGGAGGAGGAGGAGGAGGCGGAGGAGGAGGAGGAGGAGGAGGCGGAGGAGGAGGAGGAGGAGGAGGAGGAGGCGTTGACCTAAGGAACCCTAAATGAGGAACGAGGCCCCTTTTTGCCACAAGTTGAGCTTCGATCCCCCCTCGAAAACAGGAGGACAACCTGAGGCAAGCTGCGAAACAATCGAGGAACACGGAGCCCCTCCCCAACGAAAAGGGTTCCTCCTTCAGCGCCCCGACTGTATGGCAGGGACAGGACAGGAGAAGGCCGCGCCTAGACGGCGCATCGGCAAGGGGTTCGGCAGCTGGTACAGTCAAAAACCCTAATAAGTACGCGCGGTAAGGACGCAAGACCCATGGAAGCCGAAGCTGGGATTTTTGGGGCGGCGGACGACGAAAACCTCAAGGACGCCAGAGCAAGGAAGAGCAAGGACGCAAGGGTACCCTGAGCAAAGTCGCACGTCCTTATTCGGATTTTTGACTGTAGTGTACATTTGCGGTGGCGTGCAAGAGTATGCAAATGAACAGCTGCGCGGTGCCTCGGAGAGGTCGTTGTATTCGTTGTGCTAACGAAGTGCGAGGGGAACTCGAAGTGCGAGGGAAACATGCTGTCATCTCTTGGGGGCGATCTCTTTACTTTCGCCGCCTTCCGCTGGCTTTTGCTGGCGGGAGCGGCCTCGTTTTACTTCCGCCACCTTCCACCGTCCTTCCGCCGAGGAAGAGATGACAACTCTCCTTCGATCCTTGACGGCGGCCCGAGCAAGCGAGAGTTGGACCGAATTGCGAAAACGGATCGGATCGGTAAAAAAAGTCGGATTGCGTCCGAATCGTCACGGAATCGAACCGATCGGGGTCGCTAGTTGGGCTCAGCCGGAGAGGGACTCGGTTCGCGTCGGATCGGATTGAATGAAGCTGCGTGAATCGGATCGGAATTGGACCGCGAGCAATTCTGACGGGGTGTGTTCTGTCGCCTCAGATCCAGTCTCTGAAAATCCAGCGGAACCGAAAATATAACCCCTGGAGGCTGAAACGGAAGAACCTTGATCGATCCATCGATCGCTTCTCGATCGATCCTTGACCGACCGATCGATCGATTGATCCTCGATCGACGGCGGCCGACGTTGGCAGTGAAGGCGTGCCGCAGGGCCCCGCGCGCGCCCCGAGCTGTCCCATTTGCAAGCGGGTGCTCGTCGTGGTGGGCCTTGGCTGGCCTTGGCCACCGTGCCGCTGGGCATGGAGTGGGCGTGCCCTCAGGTCCTCTGCCCAAGGCCGGGGCTCGGGAGGCTTCCCACGAGAGCCCAACGAACACCCCATGGGCTTCACACCCACAGCCCAGGCACGGCGGCGGGCTTGGCCGAGGGCCATTCGATAGGTCACCGCGCACCTCCCCCTCCTCCTCCTCCTCCACCTCCTCCTCCTCCTCCTCCTTCTCCTCCACCTCCTCGTCCTCGTCCTCCTCCTCCTCCTCTTCCTCCTCCTCCTCCTCCTCCACCTCCTCGTCCTCCTCCTCCTCCTCCTCCTCCCTCCTCCTCCACCTCCTCGTCCTCCTCCTCCTCCTCCTCTTCCTCCTCCTCCTCCTCCTCCTCCACCGTCCTCGTCCTCCTCGTCCTCCTCCTCTCCTCCTCCTCCTCCTCCTCCGCGGTCGCGCATCGCGCACCGCGCTGCGCCACGCGCGGTCCGCCTCGTGCCCTCGCGCCCGTCCCGGGGGGGGGGGGGGGGGGGGCAAAACGGCGCGGGCGGCAGCCCGCGCGCGCGCACGCGCGAGCCCCTCCGCGCCCCACGCGGGTGCCCCAGAGGGGAGCCCGGCCAGGCCCAGATCTCCGACTGGCTATAGGATTTGCCCAGCCCCAGTCGTCGTCGTCGTCGTCGTCGTCGTCGTCGTCGTCGTCGTCGTCGTCGTCGTCGTCGTCGTCGTCGTCGTGGTCGTCGCGGGTCCTCATGGGTCGTCGTGATCGTGGTCGGCATGCTGGTCATTGCTGTGACAGTAGTGCTCGTCGTCGTCGTCGTGGTCGTGGTCGTCGTGGTCGTCGTCGTGGTGGATTTTGGCCAGACATATCAAGGGGAATCCACAGGCAACCACCTGTAGAACTTACCCCTGCAGGTCAGACTTGTCGAACAAAAATGTGGTTCAAAATTTGACAGACGTCTGCGGCCAGGTGAACCTGCAACGGGGGTGTCTGATACCCAGTCGTCGATTGAACCCGCAAGGGACAGGTTCGCACGCGGCCGCAGATTCAAAGGGGGAATCCAGCCGTGGCGACAAGAACCCCCCAAACATAACAAAGACATAACAAAACACGGCCAAGGAAACCCCGACCCGAACCTCGATCGACGGCGACGTCGACCGTGGTGGCAGCGACAATGCTGTGGCGGCGGCGCTGGCGGAGTGGGTGAAAGAAACGTGTCATGAGGAAAACTGGACCTGGACCCAGGAGCCTTCCCAAACCAGAAAGGGGGACCATTTCAGCAGGCGGGGAGACATCCAGCCTGGCTCGGCGATGCATCGCCGAAAGATCGGCTGCGGGCCCCCGACGGCGACACCGATCGCTCCTGGGCGATGTGGGTCATCTGGCACCTGTCGGCGATGATTGGGCGATTGGGGGTCGATGCTTCCCCCCTGAGCCACTGCCCTGGCCCCTCGCCGCGGCCCCTGATCAGGACCCGCACCGACGTCGTCAAGATCGCGCCACATGCCGCTCTCGGGGATCTGCTGACCCGGGTCAACCCAGACCCGGGTCAGGCAGGCCCTGCAGACTGCTGCAAGCTCCCAGGGCACCCCAGCCCGGGTCGACGCGACGGGTCCTGCAACATTTCCCGCAGGATCCTGCACCCCAGCCCGGGCCAATGCGACCCTGGCCCTGCGAGAGCCTGCACCATCGGGGCGCTCTGGCTGCCCCCGACGCTGGCATCGACCCCCGCCTCAAGGCCCCCGACGCTGGCGCACCGCCTGGTCACCGGGGCCCACTCAGGCGGGCGGCGGGCGCCTCCCGGAGTGCCCGGCAACGCCCGGGCTTGCAGGCGGCCTGCCGGCCGGGATCCACCGCGGCCCCGCGACTCGGAGGAGGGCGGGGAGGAGGGGGAGGACGGCTGACGAGGACAGAGGACGAGGGCCCCCCTCCCTCATGACACGTCTGCTTCGATCGAGCGGCCGATGCTCGATGCGCGGCGGATGCTGGCGGCGGCGGCGCTGGGCGGAGGCGCCCCGCGGCGATGGCGCCTCGAGTGGTCCACCGCCAGAATCTGCTCGTCCGCCTCCCCCCGGAGCGCCGCCGAGCCCTCGCCGCCGCCTCGGGCGGCGGGCGCCGCGGCCGCAGCGGCGGCGGTCGCCGTCGCGGTCGTCTCGGCGATCCTCCGGCGCCCGACCCCGGGCCGCCAAGGGCTCCCGACCCCGGCGGCGCGCAGGGGGGGGTATGGGGGAGGGGGGAAGGCTTCTCCGAAGGAGGCCGGCTCTCAGAAGGCGCGGGCCTCACTTCCACGGACGAGGCCCACGCCTTCTTAAGAAGCAGGGGTGCTTCTGAGAAGCCTTCCCCCCTCCCCCTGCCCCCCCTCTCTGCGCGCGACCGGCGGACCCCCTTGCCCCGGGGGCACGTGCGGGGTCCCGGGGAGCGGGCCCGTGGTGGCCCGAACGCAGGAGAGCACCCGGCGGGGCTGCTTCGAGCCAGGGCCTGGGCCTCCGAAGGCTCCAGCCGGCCGGCCGGCCGGCGGCAGCATCTCCCGATCGGCGCCACCCTGCTTGTGCTGCCCGATGGGCAAGTCTAACTTTCTGGGCTTTGGGCAACTGTCGGTGGCAACCTCCGCGTGCCGACGCCCGACGCCGCTGCGCACACACACACACACACCCTCCGCGTGTCGACGCGCGTCGTCCACCGACGGGCGTCGGCACGCAGAGCACGATGTGCTGATGCGGGTCCACACCATGATCGTTCAATTCAACGTTCCCCAAACAGTGTTTGCACTTCGGGATTCTTAAGCGTCTTCAAAAACATTTGATTTTCACCCGTTTTTTATTAAACAAAATTGTTCCGGTATTCTACCAAAGCGTCGTCTGGTGCGAAATCAGGCGTCGTTCAGGACAACGTTTGGGAATTCGGGGCTGGGCAGTGCGAGGGGGCGGGGGGCGCCTTGGAGTCTGGGGAAGACGGACGGGCATGCGGATCGCGTGTTGACGCACGAGGTCGGGGTCACGCTCCGCGTGAGCAAGTTGGTTTTGTCTGGCTCTCATTTGGAAACATAAACGGATCGCAATTTCGATTTGTACTTGCCCCGGCAATGATGAAGTTCGGCTTCGCCGCCCTTTTCCCACGACTACCTCTGTTTTGGCCCAAGATAATCAACTCACAGGGTGAAAAGGGGGTATGTTTAATTATCCCGGGTGCTCGGTTATATTGTGCAACCGAGATTGCACAACATCTAGTGCACCACATCGATTGAACCAACATTGCACCACATAGACTTGGACCACATATATTGCACCACGCATGTTGCTCAACACATATTGCACAACATAACCTCTTCCATATATGCTGCACAAGATGCATTGCAGCACGTATATATTGCACAACGTCGATTGCACTACATCCGAGTTTTTGGGGGTGAGATCGCAGTGTAACGGAGCCCCCCCACCGGGAAATCGAGTTTCGAGTTCGTGCTCGAGCCGTGCGTGCGGACGAGGCGAAGCTGCGTGGGCCAGCGAGAGGAATTCACCCTGCTGTCGCTAAGGGTCCGCCAACAGAAATGTTTCCCCCCCCGGCCTTGTCAAGCGGTAGCCCACGTTGTCCCGTCGGTTGGCGGCCAATTGCTCATCATGGTTGCTCGTCGGTTGCCCGCCGGTTGCTCATCATGGTTGCTCATCATTGTCCCGTCGGTTGCTCATCATGGTTGCTCACCATTGTCCCGCCGGTTGCTCATCATGGTTGCTCATCACTGTCCCGCCAATTGCTCATCATGGTTGCTCATCATTGTCCCGCCGGTCGCTCATCATGTTTGCTTATCATTTTCCCGCCGGTTGCCCATCATGGTTGCCCATCATGGTTGCTCATCATGTTTGCTCATCATTGTCCCGCCGGTTGCTCATCATGGTTGCTCATCATGGTTGCTCATCATGGGACACTTTCATGGTTGCTCATCATGGGACACCTTCTCTTGCTTCTCCTGCTCGTATCCTTCTTTTTTTGTTATCTCTAACCTAACTACTTAGATCTTTAATTCGGCTCAAGGGCTCAAGCCATGTGACGCAAGTCGGTCAGCTCGTCGCTTTTTTGCTGGGGCGAAGGCTCGATTGCCATTCATCGCCCCCCTCCTCCTCTCCTCCCCCCTCGGAATATGGCGGCCACTTTCATTTGGTATCATGGGCCGGGGGATGCCGTTCTTGGACCACTTAGTCGTCAGAGGACAAGTAAATGCCGTCATTTATTGGCCACGCCGTCCTTCCAGTTCCCCTGCTTGAATGAATTTGCATGTATCAGCATCTCCTCATCGTCATCACCACCATCGCCATCATCATAATGACCCTCTTCATCTTCATCCGCCTCGTCCTCCTCCTCCTCCTTCTCCTCCTCCTCCGCCTCCTCCTCCTCCTTCTCCTGCCCCTCACTGTCCTCCTCCTCCGGCTCAAGGCGCCCACTGCGGTCGCGCTACCGCAGCCTTCCCCGGCGCGCGCGGGTGAGCCAGGCGCTGCCAGCTCCGACCTGGCGGCGCCGTCAGTTTCACATGGGTCCGCGTCGGTGCAGGCCCCGGCGCGCGTGGGCGAGCCAGGCGCTGCCAGCTCCGGCCTGGCCGCGCCGTCCGTTTCACGCGGGCCCGCGTCGGTGGGGGCACCAGGTGCGCGCGCGGGCGTGTCCGGCTCTTCCAGTTTGAGCCAAGCACAGGTAGCGCCGTCCGCCCCCGCCACGGTTGCACGGAAACCGGTCGTGGGGGCGGCCGATGTCACCTCCAGCGACGTGCGGAACATGAACCGGAATGAATTGCGTGCACTGGCGACCTCGTTGGGGGTCGGGACTCGGGAAAACATAAAGAGCTCGCAGGCGCTCCGGGCGGCGTGCTGTCGCGCCCTCCCGCAGGCCCCGCAGCGACAGCACTCCCGGGCGGGCGCGAGTGAGCCAGGCGCTGCCAGCTCCGACCTGGCGGCGCCAGCAGCTTCACGTGAGCCCGTGTCGGGGTCTCGCACTGCCAGTTCGAGCCAGGCGCAGGTTAAATCGCCCGTCTCCGCCACCGCGACGCAGAACCCGGTTGTGGGGGCGGCCCATGTCACCTCGACCGACGTGCAGAACATGAACCAGAAAGAGTTGCGTGCGCTGGCGGCCTCTTTGGGGGTCGCAGCTAGGGGCACCCAACAGTCCACGAGGCTTCTCCGCTCGGCCTGTTGTCGTGCCCTCAAAGGGCAGGTTGGGATAGCTTCCTCTTTCCAACCTGCCGTGGCTCCAGGTGCCCCGGGGGCGAGAAGCAGGCGACGCGCCAGTCTCTGACAGCGCATCCGCAGTGGATCCAAACCCAGCGAAGCCGCGCGAACGACCGAGGGCCGTTCGCAACCCGTTGTGGTTGCGTAAACCAGCCTGGTTGTCTGCACAGACGGCGCGCCAGAAGAAAGTTGGGAAGCGGCGCGCTCCGCGCGCGCTCCGTAAGGATCGCATCCACGACAAGATCCGCGACAAGCGCCCTCAGCGCGCATCCCGTAAGAAGCTGGCGGCTGCCAAGCGGGGCAAGAAACGATATCAACAAAATCCGCCACCTCATCCACACCATCATCGCCCATCAGCACCACGCTCATCACAGTTGTCGTCATGAGCCACCCCCCTCCCCCCACCCCCCCACAACCTCCTTATCACCCGCAGGGTGGTCGTATAGGTATATTGCGCAACACATGCTGTATAAACTAGATTACAACAGACAGATGTCACCACCTATATTGCCACACGTATATTACACAACGTATGTTAGAAGCAATCTGTTTGGGGCCCACGCTGGTTAACATTCACTGTTCCCGATGTCTCGGGCCCCGAGGCCGTCGGGAATCGCGTCGGGGTGGAACACATGCTGAGATGGACCCCAAGGACCTCGAAGGTCCTAGGGCCGCCGCTGTCGCCCTCTTCGTCGTCTCCGCCGCAGTCATCGTCGTCGCGGCCTCGTCGTCGCCCTCGTCGTCGTGGCCTTCCTCGCTCTTCCGCGGCGGGGCAGGGTGCCCACGGTCGGCGCTCGATCCATGGACCCCTGCTGCTGACCCCCGCTCTGGGCGCCAGGGGAGCCAGGGCCTGGGTGCCAGACGCAGCCCCGGAGGCCAGCATCGGGCCCACGCCGCCGCTCTGGCCCCTCGTGGGGCCGGAGCGCGAGCAGGGTCACGGACAACATGTAGATCGCCCAATGAGCCTCCTCCTCCTCCCTCCTCCTGCTCCTCCTCCTGCTCCTCCTCCTCCTCCTCCTCCTCCTCCTCCTCCTCCCTCCTCCTCCCTCCTCCCTCCTCCCTCCTCCTCCTCCTCCTCCTCCTCCTCCTCCTCTTCGACCCTCCTCCTCCTCGATCCTCCTCCTCGACCGTCTTCCTGGCCTCCCCCCGGGAGCCCAGGAAAGCGCTTCCCACGAGACTCCCAGCTGCGCGTGACTGCGCGGCCCTGCCTGCGTGCGCCGCCGACGCGCCAGCCCCCCCCCCCGCGCCTGTGGCCGCGCGGCGGCCAGGAGCTGTCCGCGGGGATCGCCCTATAGGCAGTGCGGTTCGACTTCGCTCTGTTTCCGCTCTCCCCCGTTTCGCTTTCAGTCCGCCTTTCCTGCAGCACGACACCGAGACGAAGACGGCCCACGAAGTCACCGAAGCACCGGTGAGGTCGACCCCTGGCCTCCAGCGCGGTGGGACTGCCCGCTTGGGCCGCCCACGCGGGGCGACCAGGTCGCCCCGCCTCCTGGCAGAGGAGCAAACAACTGCACATAAACATAAACTGTCGAAATTCCGCGCGGATTTATGGGAGCTGCGCCCGACCCCCTCCCTGGGGCGCGGAGCGCGCCAGGGGCGGCGCCGGTGACGCCGCCAGGGGGCCCAGAGCAAATCCAACAGATCCGCGCGGAGCTCCGAAAGGTCATGCTTATGCAGTTTTATTTGTCTCAGGTTGTGGAGTTCCGCCCGACTGAGGACGTCCACACCTGCGTCTCCAAGGGGGCGGGCGGAACACCATGAGAAGCAGGACTGAGGCGTCAGCATCAGGTCTGGCGCACCCCCACACACAAAACGGAGGTCAATGGGGAGCAGCCCCCCAGTTCTGATAAACATCGGCTATTTCACCAACACGCGATATCAAATTCATACTTCGAACCGCCGGCAAAATACACGCAAACTACACTGACACGATCCAGCTATGCCAAGCTCCGCCCACTCTGCGAATGCATTGTGCAGGAGTGTACCAGCGCGCGCGCGAACTTTTGGCGAAGCCGCGCGTACGCAGCGCGCTGTGTTGTTTACCGCGCGCTGATATTGCGGCGATTGGCGGAGATCGAGGCAGCCTGGCCACGAAAACCACACCGTCTCCCGTGAACTGCCCGTCCACGGTCCTCGCGTCCACTGCGCACGGCACCAACACTGACGCCGACGTCTTTCCACATTTAGCATGATGTGGGGGAAACGGGTTCTGAGGGAAACGGGTCCTGGACCCTGGGGCCTTCCCCCAGGACGATCTCTTCATCCTGAATCGTTTTACGACAGTCCCGGGACCCGTGGGGGGCCCCCGGGAGCCCGAAGACGCCGAAAAACCTCAGGGCCCGTTTTCCTCAGGGCCCGCTTCCCCCTATGGCGACACACAGAGAAGGACCTCAGACGGCGGAGGACGCAACAAAGCCGAAGCGACAACCCGTCTGACGACCCATGCCGGCATTCGACGTCGGGGGCGGAGGCTGAGGTCCCCCATCGGACCGCGGGGTCCCGCCGTCCCCATCTGGGTTGTCTTCCCCCTTGGGATGCGCGAGCTGACGCCCGCTCTGGACTTCGGCGGCGAGCGAGGGGGGCAAGCCAGACGGAGAAGGCCTTCTCAGAAGGCTGTGGGACTTCTCAGAAGCCCCTCGCGCGGCGTAGAAACCTTGTCAGAAGACCAGGGGCGTCCGAGATTTCTGAGGCCCGCCCCTTCTCGCTTCCCCCCCTCTCGCCCGCCGCCGAGGGTTGGCGCCCCCCACGCGTGTTGGCAGTCGGTGTCGACCGCTGTTGCTTGGACGCCGCCCGGGAGACGCGGTGCTCATCGCAACCAGGACGCAGCAGCTTGCACCCCTCGCGGCGCGACGTTGAAGATGGGCAACGGTTTGTCCAGCTCGGACTCGGCGCCACACCAGCAGGGCCGCCCGCACGTCTGGGGGCTGCCCGAAGCTGGCGTGTCGCCAAGGGACCCCTGCGCCGCCTGTGCAGTGCGCGCCACGATGGATCGCATCAGAAGGCCAGCTGCACGCATCAGTTTCCGTACCCCCTCTTTTCTCACCTGCCCTACTTCACCCCCCGCCCCAGACAGTTTTCGGCACGCCACAAATTGAAGGGGCCCACAACACACACACACACACGATTAAATACACACAAATAACAGGATTCCCCATACTTCCCCCTGTTGTCGGGGTTTTCGTCTTCCCCCCCACTTCCAACATTTTCCAATATCTTCGGGGGAATCGACGATTCACTGTGTCTGTGTGCTTGTTTCCCTCCTGAGGGTGGGAGGCCGCACGGGCCTCCAGAGAGAGAGACGGGGCACGGAGACTCCCCCGCGGTTCACCCGCCCGCTCCCATTGGCAGTGGGCAGGTGCCGCGCACAGGAAAGCGAGAGGCGAACACAGTGAGACCATTTATTCATTTATTTATTTATTTTTATATATATATATATCGTTTTGGGTATTTTTTATTTTTCGTCGAAAATCCCCCTGTAGGGGGACAGGCCCGACTGGAAGTGGGCAAGTGAAGCGCAAAGGAAAGCGAGAGGCGAACACAGTGAGACACGGGGGGGGGCGTCCTCGTGTGAGAGGGGACGGACGGAGTAGAGAAGGCAGAATCAGTCAGGATCGAGGCGGGAAACCGAGTCGTGCGCCAGATCGGGGCCGCATCGAAACGGATGGGCTGCGCCAGGATGCACAACAACGCCATGCAGACATCGCGCCGCATCGAATCGTCGGACCCAGAATTCCGCCGTCGTGACTTTTTCAAAACATGAACCCCTGGATTCCCCCAGGAAGGCTGTCCATACCGAGTCGTTTGTCACCGAGCGCGTTCCACTACTCGCAACGTGCCTACTCGCAAACGTCAGAAACAAAACATATGCATTCCCGTATGGAATGGATCGGCAATCCCCCGCGGCGGATCCAGGCCACTTGCGACCAGCTACCTTGCGAGCAGTGTTAGGTCGGGCGCGTCCCCCTGCAGGCGGATTTTGGACGAAAACTTAGAAACAGTCAAGCAATATCTCAAACATGACAAACCACTAATCAAAACATCGTCCCCAGACTATTTTTGGGGACTATCTTTCGATATTTTCTCCTGTCGAGGGACACGCCCGACTTCAGAGCTGCGGAGCACGCCTGCCGAGCTCGACGGACGGTCCCCGGCAGGGACCCCCTGGAGGCCGCGACTGGCCGGAGACCTCCTGCCCGACTGCGCGGGGCGGCGCCCTGCGACTGGCCTTGAGTCGGGCCTGTCCCTCTAGAGGGGGAATGTCCAAAAACAGTTTAAAAAAATAGTCTGGGGACGATTCTCGGAGCATTTTTTTTCACCATTTTGGTGTATTGTTTTTTGACTATCTTCTTATTTCTCGTCCCAAATGCCCCTGGAGTCGGGAGCGGCCAAGAGGGGGGCGCCCAAGAGGGGGGGGCGCAAATCATGGCCGGCGGCATGTGCGCGGCCCAGCGGGGGGGGCCGGGGACGTATTAGAACAAGAAGAGGCGCCATGAAATCTGGGGAAATATCATGGCCCACGCCATGATATTCACCCCCCTCTAGTCATCACCCCCCTCTTTTCCGTCCCCGATGGAGGAGGACAAGCCCGACTTAAGACTGGCCACCCTCCCGGGACGAGCGGGTGGGGCCGCCGCCGGGCCTCGCCGCCCTGGGGGCGAAACTCGTGCGAGACGAGGCCAGGACGAGGCTGAGACCGGGCGAGGTCGAAACCCGGCCCCGTCTCTTCCCCTCTGTTACGTTTGAGGTCCTCGTTCCCCTCTTCTTTCCTCGGGGTCGGGGGCCCTGGGCCGTCGTTCGAGCGTGGGCACGACCTCCGGGGGTCGCTGCTTGCGATCCGCGCCTTGGGCCTGCTGCACAGACGCTGGCTCAGCGAGAAACGGCAGAAACGGCAGATCGGGCGAGGAGAGCTCGGGGATCTCTTGAAGGGGCCCACAACACACGAAGAAATACACACAGATAACAGGACTCCCCACATCTTCCCATATCTTCTGGGTTCTCGTCTTCCCCCCCACTTCCCATATCTTCTTATATTTTCCGGGGAACCGACGATTCATCGAATCTTTGTGCTTTTTCCCTCCTGATCTCTGAGATCCGGCGGCTCTGGGGGATGCCCCCCGGCGCCGCGGCCTTCTCAGAGCGTTCCGGGGCGCCCTGGAACGGACCTGTCCTCGTCCAAGCCCCGTCCGACACTCCGCAGAAGCGCAGGTTGTGCTGGCGGCGCGGCCACCTCCTGCGAGCGGAATGGCCCGCTGGAGCCTTGGCGACCTGCTGCGGTCGCCGAGGGGAAGGCTTCGGTCGTGCGTCCCCCAACACGCGGATTTTGTCATAACAAAAGAAACATAGTCAACAAAACAGACTCCAAACATCTTCAAACATAGTCCAAAAATCCTCCCCATACTATTTTTTGACTATTTGAGAAGATCCTCCTGTAGAGGAACAGGCCCGACTTCAGGGAAGGCTGGGATCGAATCGGGCGACGTCGACGTCGAGCCGGGCCGAAGCGGGTCCCTCCTCACTCCTCCCTCCTCCCTCCTCCCTCCGCCCTCCGCCCTCCCCCCTCCCCCCTCCTCCCTCCTCCCTCCTCCTCCCTCCTCTCCTCTCCTCCTCCTCCTCCTCCTCCTCCTCCTCCTCCTCCCTCCTCCTCTCCTCCTCCCCTCCCCTCCCCTCCCTCCCCCCCCCTCCCCCTCCCCCTCCTCCTCCTCATCCTCCTCCTCCTCCTCCTCCTCCTCCTCCTCCTCCTCCTCCTCCTCCTCCTCCTCCTCCTCCTCCTCCTCCTCCTCCTCCTCCTCCTCCTCCTCCCCTCCTCCTCCTCTCCTCCTCCTCCTCCCTCCCCTCCCCCCCCCCCCCCTCCTCATCCTCCTCTCTCTCCTCCGGCCTCCTCCTCCTCCTCCTCCTCCTCCTCCTCCTCCTCCTCCTCCTCCTCCTCCTCCTCCTCCTCCTCCTCCTCCTCCTCCTCCTCCTCCTCCTCCTCCTCCTCCTCCTCCTCCTCCTCCTCTCCTCCTCCTCCTCCTCCTCTCCTCCTCCTCCTCCTACTCCTCCCTCCCCCTCCCCCTCCCCTCCTCCTCCTCTCTCTCCTCCTCCTCCTCCTCCTTCTCCTCTCCTCCTACTCCTCCTCCCCCTCCCCCTCCTCCTCCTTCCTCCTCCTCTCCTCCTCCTCCTCCTCCTCCTCCTCCTCCTCTCCTCCTACCCTCCTCTCTACTCCTCCTCCTCCCCCTCCCCCTCCCTCCCCTTCTCCTCCTCCTCCTCCTCCTTCCTCTCCTCCTCCTCCTCCTCCTCCTACTCCTCCTCCTCCTCCTCTCCTCCTCCTCCCCTCCTTCCTCCTCCTCCTCCTCCTCCTCCTCCTCCTCCTCCCCCTCCCCCTCCCCTCCTCCTCCTCCCTCCTCCCCTCCTCCTCCTCTCTCTCCTCCTCCTCCTCCTCCCTCCTCCTCCTCCTCCCTCCTCCTCCCTCCTCCTCCTCCTCCTCCTCCTCCTCCTCCTCCTCCTCGTGGGCCGAGAGGGCCCCCCCTGCGGACGGGGGGGGGCGCGCCCCTGCCGCGGAAGACGGGCGGCGGCGGCGGCGCCGCCGCGTGCTGCGAGTGGCCGCTCTGGGGCGGCGCGCGGCGCGGATGCCGCCGCCCTCCTCGTCCTCTTCGTCCTCGCCCTCCTCGCCCTCCTCCCCTTCCTCGCCCTCCTCGTCCTCCTTCCCTTCCTCCTCGCTCGTCCTCCTCGTCCTCCTCCCCGTCCTCGCCCTCCTCGCTCGAGTAGGCTGGAACTCGAGGGGCCGCCGCAGTTGCCCCCTCCGAGCGCGCGCGCTCGCAGCGCGGGGCTCGCGCCCGCGCCCACCTCCTCGCGTCGGGGGAAACAACGGCGGGGGGAGAGCTGGGGGCGGGCTCGGCCTCCGGCCCCCCCCCGATTATTTAGAGGCCTCCTAGATAGGGGTCCGAGCAGATGGGGTCGGAGGATCGCACCGCATCGCCACTGCATCGCCGATGCATCGGCGATGCATCGGCGATGCATCGGCAACGTCGGAGACGCATCGGCGACGTCGGCGTGGAGAACATCGGGCTCCGCATCGAACCGCATCGTGGATGCATCGGCGATGCAGCGCGATCCTCCGACCCCATCTACTCCGACCCCATCTAGGAGGCCTAGATTATTACAGGACCCGCGGGGGCGTCCAAGAACGCCTCGGGAGTCGAGTAGGGATCGACTGCAAGATTGGTCCACCCTAGAATTTCCTTTTTTGCCTGATCTGCAAAAAAAAGTTCTATTTCTCAAGGGTTCGACGATGGGTTCACGCAATGTTTCTCTTGGGTGGCACAATTCTGTAGTCGATCCCCTACTGGAAGGGGGAACAGCCAGTCCTGGGGAGGGGGTCCAGAGCTCGGGGGGCTCACGCCCTGAAGAACATCGGAACGGTGGTGTTGTGACGGGGGGGTGAAATAGCCGATGATGGGGAACCAGGAAAGTGACTGGCTCAGGGGGGGTACGTAGCGGGGTTCGGCGTCGGGCTCGGGCTCGGCGCCGGGCTCGGCGTCGGGCTCGGCGCCGGTTAGGGCGCCAGGCTCGGGCAGGGCGCTGGATAGGGCGTGAAAAGTGGCCTCGAATCGACGATGGATCGCTGACAGATCGGCGGATCGACACCCAGAGAGGGCACCTCTCTCGCTGACCGTTAGGTCGGGCGTGTCCCCCTACAGGCGGATCTTGGGCGAAAATTAAAATACAAAACAAATCCCGAACGGTGTTTTTGCTTATATGTATATATCTGTGTATATGTATGTATGCAAGTATGTATGTATGTATGTATGTATGTATGTATGTAGGTAGGTAGGTAGGTAGGTAGGTAGGTAGGTATGTATGTATATATATATATATATATCGAGAGGAGGAGGAGGAGGAGGAGGAGGAGGAGGAGGAGGAGGAGGAGGAGGAGGAGGAGGAGGAGGAGGAGGAGGAGAGAGGAGGAGGAGGAGGAGGAGGAGGAGGAGGAGAGGAGGGAGGAAGGCCTCCACCCCCCGCCCCGTCGCTGCCCCTGCTTGGCAGCGCGCAAGGGGGGGGGGGCAGGTGGAGGGGGGAAGGCTCTCGACCTGGCATATGGAGGGGGTGGATGAGGGGGGGGGGGCAGGTGGAGGAGGTGTGTGGGGGGGTGGTAGGTGGAGGGGGGGGGGCAGGTGGAGGTGGTGGGGGGCAGGTGGTGGTGGGGGAAGGCTTCTTAAGAGGCAGAAGAAAGCAGAAAAACCGAAACTTTCGACGCTCCGCGCGGGTTGTTTGGATCCGCGCCAGGACCCCCTCCTTGGCGCGCGGAGCGCGCCAGGGGCGGCGCCAGAAACGCTGCCAGGGGGGTCCCAACGCGAATCCAAAGAAATCCGCGCGGAGCGCCATTATGTTTATGTGTTTTTCCTTCTACGATTCTCAGCAGGAGGCTGCTTCTTCTTGGAGCGCGCCCGCCCTGCACCCACAGACAAGGCCGTGCCTTCTAAGAAACAGGGGTGCTTCTCTAAGTGGCCTTCCCCCCTTCCCCTGCCACCCTCTCTGCGAGTGGCCGACCCGCGCCAAACGGAGGCGAACGAATCGGCTGCCGGTTTTCCCGGCGCTGACGGCGGCCCTGCGCCGAGGAGCGGGCTGGATGGTGGGGCCGAGGCGGGCCGCGTGCAGCAGATTTTGCACCCCCACCCCCCGCCCTCGTCCGCCCCGAGCTTCGAGCCGGGGACAAACCCGGACCCTCGAGAGACTCGATGCTCCCCTGGATCCTGAGAGTGGGGTTGATACTCCTACGTAGTGGGAGTTCTTTGCCTCACTCCTCTGTCGTCTATCCTCCTCGGCCTCTCCCTGCGTGCTCCCGCCCCTCCGCTCGTCCTCCTCCTGCCCTGTCCGTCCGTCGCTCCGTCCTCGGCTCCTCCCTCCTCGTCCTTCCAAGCCCACCGCCCACCAATTTTCCTCCTCCGTCAGATCCTCCGCCCCTCCCGCTCGCGCATCTCCGTCCCTTCCTCTGTCCTCCTCTTCCTCCTCCTCGTGTCGGGCGCAAGCCAACATGGACCACGGGCGATTGGATCTGGCGCGTGGGCGCCGAATCCGCGGATCGAGGGAAGCGCCCCCCGAAACACGAGGCCATTGCTGCCTGACTTGGCGACGCAGTGCGCCGATTCAACATGGCAATGGGGCCCGTCGCGGACCCACGCGCCTGACCGCGGTCCTGCGCTTGCTTGACTCTGCGACCCACTTCCCTCTCGTGCCTCCTCCCGCTCCCTCGGCGCTCCCCGCTCCCTTCCGTGTCCGCCCCTCGTGGAAAGGGCAGGGGGAACCGGGAGGACGCCGCAGGGGAGGGCGACGGGACGCCCCGGGCGAACGTCGGGCCCGATCGCTCCCCTCCTCCGCGCCCCTCCACCGTCGCCCTTCCGCCGTCGCCCCGCTCCAACCTGGCCCTGGCCGCCTCCGACCCTCCCGCCCCGGCAGGGCGGGCCCCGGGCCTGCTGCGTGCAGAAGGCGCGCACTCGCCCCGCCATCGACCAGAACACGTTGCAGTTGAAGGGGCCCAGGGACACACTGACAAACACACACACAAATCTCAAGATTCTCCATATTTTCACATACCCATACGAGCACCCTGCGGGTGAGAATTTTTTTTTGACACTCGCAATCCAGATGGCTCCCACGACCACCTTGTTCGAGTTGTCGGCGCCTTTAACGCCAATTGCACGAAGGGCCCCTGGGCGAGGTTCGTCTCGCCCAAGAGGGAGGGCCAGGGCTAAGACTTTGCCACGCCGAGGCCACGCCTGTCGCAGCAGACAGGACGAGCAAAAGGGCGACCTCGCCTCGGCGAGCGCCGCTTTGGGGTGGGGGCTTCGCGAGTTCTTTTCGGAACGCCCGCTATGGCCCCCTCCCCTCGCGGTTCGACCCTCGGCTCAAGCCGCCAACAACAGGGCATCCGTCAGCTATACAGGACGAAAGCACCTGTTGAAAGAGAGAGGCGACGGGGAACAACGGTCGAGGAGGACAGGCTGGCCCACCCCCGTGCCCCGACGCTCACTGAAGATGGGCGGGCCCCTGTGCAACGGTCGCCGCAAGGGGGAGAATTACCTCCAGCGCCCCACGACCGTGCAAGCAGGGGGACGCGGACAAACCTTCGGGTGACAAGTAGCTTCTGTGGGGGGGGGGAAGGGGGGAACCAACATCTGCCTCAATCGATCCAACTGAGGGCCCAAACAAACCTACCTCGCTTTTGACCACCCTCGCTTCCAAGAGGTACCGAACGACGCCAAACTACGGCCTGCGCTGGTCAGGCCGCTTGACTAGGAGGCGCGTGGTATGACTTGGTTTTGCCTGGAAGCGAAAGCGGGGTAGATAATTCACGCTCTGACAACTATCGATCTCACTCAACGGGACACCACGGGACACCACGGGACATTTGTCGATCTCACTATCGATCTCAGTATCGATCTCACACCACGGGACACCACGGGACACCGCGGGACGCCTCTCGATCTCACAATCGGTCTCACTACCGAACTCACTATCGATGTCACTCAAGGGGACACCATAGGACACCACATCGATCTCACTATCGATCTCAATATCGATCTCACTCTCGATCACACACCACGGGACACCTGTCGATCTCACTATCGATCTCACTACTTGGGGCACCACGGGACACCTCGGGGCACCACATCGATCTCAGTATCGATCTCACTCAACGGGACACCACGGGACACCACGGGACACCGCGGGACACCGCGAGCCACCGCCAAACTGACGGACGGACGGTCGGGCGGGGGATAATCGTTTGTCTTGACTTCGCCCTAGCAACGGCGGACACCACGGCACACCACGGGACACCACGGGACACCGCGGGACACCGCGAGCCACCGCCGGACAGACGGAAGGACGGGCGGGGGAGAATCATTTGTCTTGACTTCGCCCCACGCAGCTTCGCCTCGCCCGCACGCACGACACGAACAAAACGAAACGATTTCCTGGTTGGGGGTCGCCGTTCCACTGCGATCTCACCCCCCGACCTCCGATTTTCTGGGTTTGTGTCTTCCCCCCCACTTCCCATATTTTCGCATCGTTTCCTGGGAGTCGACGATTCATTGTGTCTGTGTGTGTTTTTCCCTCCTGAACAGTGGGGGCCCGACCACAAGAAACCTTCCACGAGAAACCCAACTCTGAGACCCCAGGGCGTCCATTGACTTCTGGTGCAGGAGCGCCGCGCTCTCCATCGCAAAAGCATCGAAACCAAAGAAACCCAGGGCACCCTGGAGGAAAGCAGGGTGTTTCTTTGCATGTGCATTCCCTCGCCTCCGCCGCTTTCGTGTTGATCGTGGCGTAGGCACCCGTGGATCCCCGAACCCTTCCCAGCGGCCGGGGTGTTCGCCCCGAATGGTTGTTTGACGGTCCCGGGCCGGGAAACTGCCCCAGGAGGCCGCAACAACTGGGAAAAGAGCGTGCCGTCACGATCTGGTGGCGACGCCCAGATCCGAGGGTACACGGTGCGCGTTCTCCTCCTCATCCGCAGCGAACTTTCGCTGGGCAGTTCCTGGAACTGATGTTCCACCCTAATTACCTCCTGTCAGGGCCGAGGCCAAGGGGAACTCTGTGCGATTCTAGCGACTCGAGCGCACCATCCGTGCACTGAGGAATCCGCGCCGTTCGATTGAAACGTCCGCGCTGTTCTTGCGATTGGGCCGTGGGCTGTTCTTGCCATTGGGCTGTGGGCCATTCTTGTGATTGTGCAACGCGCTGTTCTTGCGATTGGGCTCGCTCACTCGTGCGCAATATTATTTTGCGCCACGCTGCCGTGTGACTATTAACGAAAAGACAAGCTAAACACAAACAGACAACAACACCAAAGAAGTAACGAGAACGTTTGGGAGCGAAGATTGCGCGTGATGTCTTTAGATTTTCCGCTGCCCCCCTCAATGGGAGGCGTTTGGGGACGACGCGGCAAACCAGCGCACTTGTGCCGAACAACTTCCTGAACCAATGAAACATAATGCGTCTTTGATTTTTTTGGCGCGAGCCCGAGAACTTGTGCCGAACAACTTCCTGATTGAATGAAACAACGAAACTCAAGATCTCTTGGATTCGCCCTAAGACGGAGGGGAATGCCAGGACCGGGGGGGAGGGGGGGACCCTTCGGCTCCGCACCCCCCTTTCGTGCACGGAAGGAGCCTTCCCCACTACTACTACTACTACTACTACTACTACTACTACTACTACTACCAGTAGTAGTAGTAGTACTACTAATACCACTACTACTATTACTCCTACTACTACTGCTACTACTACTACTACTACTAGTAGTAGTACTGCTACTACTACTACTACCACTACTACTACTACTACTACTACTACTACTACTACTACTACTACTACTACTACTACTACTACTACTACTACTACTACTACTGACTACTACTACTACTACTACTACTACTACTACTACTACTACTACTACTACTAAAACTACTACTACGACGACGACGACGACGACGACGACGACTACTACTACTACTACTACAACGACTACTACGACTACTACGACTACTATGACTACTACAACAGCTACTACTACTACTACTACTACTACCACTATTACTACTACTACTACTACTACTGCTACTACTACTACTACTACTACTAATCTTATTACTCCGACTAAATATTCCTACTACTACTACTACTACTACTACTACTACAAAGGCTACTACTACTACTACTACTACTACTACTACTACTACTACTACTACTACTACTTCTACTACTACTACTACTACTACTACCTGTACCTGTACCTGTACCTACTACTACTACTACTACTACTACTACTACTACTACTTCTACTGCTACTGCTACTACTACTGCTACTACTACTGCTACGACGACTACTATTGCTACTGCTACTTCTACTGCTCCTGCTACTGCTACTACCACAACAGCAACGACTGCTACTAGTGATGCTACTGCTACTGCTGCTACTACTACTCCTGCTACTACTACTACTGCTGCTGCTGCTGCTGCTGCGACGACTGTCACTACTACATCTACATGTGCAACAACTGCTACTCCTAATACTCCGGCTGATACTGGAAGTGCTACTGCAACTATTACTACTACTGCTACTACTACGACTACTCTACTAGTAGTACTGCTACTACTATTACTACTACTACTACAAATTGTACTACTACTACTACTACTACTACGACTACTACTACTACTACTACTAGTGCCGGTACTGGTAGTAGTAGTTCTAGTAGTAGTAGTAGTAGTAGTAGTAGTAGTAGTAGTAGTAGTAGTACTAGGAGTAGTAGTAGTAATGAAAGTAGTAAGAGTAGTAGTAGTAGTAGTAGTAGTAGTAGTAGTAGTAGTAGTAGTAGTAGTAGTAGTAGTATCAGTATCAATATCAGTAGTCGTAGTAGTCGTAATAGAACTAAGAGTCGTAGTAGTAGTACTACTACTACTACTACTACTACTACGGCGACGATGACGACGACTACTACTACAACCATTACTACTACTACTACTACTACTACTACTACTACTACTACTACTACTATTACTACTACTACTACTACTACTACTACTACTACTACTACTACTAGTACTACTACTACTACTACTACTTCGACTACCACCACTACTACTACTACTTCTACTTGTAGTGTTGCCTTCAGATGGACCCCCTGTGCCTCTAGATGGGCCCCCCTGCGCACCCCCGGCGCAGGGGGTCAACCTTGGAGGACCACCACCACCCCCTGCGCGCACCCTGCGGTTTAGAGAATGTGCCACGCCCGCCACGCCCTGGGACGCTGGCACGTATAGCGACCCCACCCCCTGCGCACCATCTACGGTGTGGAGAACGTGCCGCGTCTGCCACGCCCTGGGACCTTGGCGCGCATAGCGGCCCCAACCACTGCGCACCCCCTGCGGTGTGGAGAATGGGCCACGCCTGCCACACCCCTGGGACCCTGGCACGCATAGCGACCCCACCCCCTGCGGTGTGGAGTACGTGCCACGCTTGCCACGCCCTGCGACCCCGGCGCGCATAGCAACCCCACCCCCTGCGCACCCCCTGCAGTGTGGAGAATGTCCCACGCCTGCCCCACGCCTGCGACCATGCCACGAATCTCACGACCTGCGAATCTTATGGCTGTACCTGTGTCAAAGTATGTTGTGTGTGCATGTTCGTTTGTGTATGGTGTACGCGCGAGTGAAGGTGAGAAAGGTGAGGAGAGGGGAGAGGTGTGCTGGGAGCGCAGATCCCCTGTGGGGTTGAAGGGCGCACCAATTAAGTGAGGTGTGTTCCTCGCGGGTGGGACGCGGTTGAGAAGGAAACCATAATCCCACGAATCATGTGGGGAACTACTAGTACTAGTAGTAGTAGTAGTACTACTACTACTACTGCTACTACTACTACTACTACTTCTTCTACTACTACTACTACTTCTACTACTACGCCTACTCCTACATCTCCTCCTCCTCCTTCTCCTCGTCCTCCTCCTACTACTACAAATGCTACTGCCACCACTCTTACTACCACTCGTACTACTACTGCTACTGCTACTGCTACTACTACTACTACTGCTGCTACTACTACTACTACTAGTAGTACTAGTACTAGTACTACTACTACTACTACTACTACTACTACTACTACTACTACTACTACTACTACTACTACTACTACTACTACTACTACTACTACTACTACTACCTACTACTACTACTACTACTACTATGACGACTTCTACTGTTACGACTAGAACAACAACTACTGTAACCACCACTACGAAGACGACGACTACTACCACTACCAGTATTAGTACTACTACAACGACAACAACAACGACTAGTAGTAGTAGTAGTAGTAGTAGTAGTAGTAGTAGTAGTAGTACTCGTAGTAGTAGTAGTAGTAGTAGTAGTAGTAGTAGTAGTAGTAGTAGAACTACTACTACCACTACCACTACCCCCACCATTCTTCTACTACTACTACTGCTACTACTACTACTACTACTACTACTACTACTACTACTACTACCACTACTACACTACTACGACTACGATCACGACTACGACTACGACTACGACTACGACTTCTACTACGACTACTACTGCTACTACTACTGCTGCTGCTGCACTGACTACGACTACTACCTACTGCTACTACTACTACTACTACTACTACTACTACTACGACTACGACTACGACTACGACTACGACTACTACGACTACGACTACGCTACTACTACTACTACTACTACTACTACTACTACTACTACTACTACTACTACTACTACTACTACTACTACTACTACTACTACTACTACTACTACTACTACTACTACTACTACTACTACTACTACTACTACTACTACTACTACTACTACTACTACTACTACTACTTACTACTTACTACTTACTACTTACTACTTACTACTTATTATTACTACTACTACTACTACCACTACTACTACTACTACTACTACTACTACTACTACTACTACTACTACTACTACAACTACAACAACTACTACTACTACTACTACTACTACTACTACTACTACTACTACTACTGCTTGAGTGTCCTGCGCATGGGTACCAGGATTGTTATGTTGTATACGTGTGTCTCATGCGGGCATGTTGCTGCGTCAGGCAGCAGGTTTGTTTGTGTATGGTGCACGCGATTGAAGGTGCGAAAGGGAAGGAGGGTGGGATGGGCGTCGCGGGTGGGACGCGGCGGAGAAGAAAACCAGAACACCACGAAACATGTGGGGAAGAATCGGAAATCTGGTCCGTGGAGTGCTGGGGCTGCTGGACGCCCCTGGCCCTGTTGAGGCTCCTGGCGGCGCCCAGCGGCCTCTGGAGGCCTTCCGACCTCCTGAAACCTTCATGAGACCCCCGGGAGCCTCCGACGACAACGCCGCCGACGACGCCGGCGGCGCGGGGGTGGCGGGGAAGAGTGGGAAAGGGGAGCGGGGGCGGGAGGGAGGAGGGGTGTGGTATGGTGAGAAAGACGGGAGGAGGGAGGGAGGGAATAGCATGGGACCACTGACGCAAGAGCAAGGGAAGTATATGGAGGGAGGCAGGGAGGTAGGAGCAAGAGCGGGCGGATAGGAGGGGGGAAAAAGCGGAGGCACAGGCAGCGGCGTCGGGGGCAACGGGGTCCTCCGAAGGGCCCGCGGCGTCGCCGGCGATGTCTACGCACCTGGCGAGAAGACTGACGTAGAAAATAAAACACAACTTGGTGAGTCAGATATTCTGTTGGTGGGTATTGCTATGTATAAGTATGTGTACATATATATATATATATACACATTTACGCATATATATATACATATATATATTAAACATGTATATATATATATATACATGCAAATATATCCGCAAGGGCTTCGCCCCCTGCCGCCGGCCCCCTCTCTTGGAGACTGGGCCATGGAAAAGCGAAATCATGAGGCTTTGGCTTCGCCGTGAAGCAGTGTCGGGACCTGTTTGTTTGTCGACCCTGACCCTACGGATCTGCGTGAGGGGTGCCGCCGAATTTCGGACATGTGGCAAATCCCCTGTATTTTTTTGGACCCTGACCCTGCGGATCTGCGTGAGGGGTGCCGCCGACTTCCAGAAATGTGGCACATCCTCTGTGTTTTTGGACCCTGACCCCGCCGATCTGCATGAGGGGTGCCGCCGAATTTCAGCCACTTTGGCTCAAGCGGCTCAAGCATAGCATGGCTCAAGCGGCTCAAGTATACTCAAGCGAGAAGGCGTGAGCGGCCCTGACATATTTCATACTCATACTCCTCTTGTGTTTGCCCTCTGCCCCTACACTTCGATTGTTTCTGGGTGCTCGTATCTCTTTGCTGCATACGTGAAGATGCCGGCGGAAAAGCACCACACGGGAACTCCAGCAAAAGGCGTGCTCAAGTCATTAGATAAAATGCCCCGCACGGGAAGCTCACCTCTGAAAGTTGACGAAGGACCTCGAGCTTTACAAGACCATTTCCATCATCGTCTTGCTGACGCTGGGGTGGCGAGCGGTGCTGCGAGCTCCGGGACCCCGATCACCATGGAGGGCATGCGCGAGATGTTCAAAGAGCAGCTTCAACCCCTCCGGGAGGACATTGAGGCCATCAAAAAGCACGGGGTGTTGAACGAAACATTGCTCGGCGCAGTTACACCACTCCAGCATGCAATTGATGATATTACTGCACGCGTTGCTGCTCTTGATTCAGAAGCTTCCCGGCCCACATCTGCGAGGACTGGGTCCGATGCACCTACCGAGATGACTGTGCAGAACAAGTTGCACGAGCTGGAGATGGAAATGCAGGAGATGAAGAAGCACCGAACTACTGCCGGAAAAGGGAAACAATCGAATTACACAGGTGAAAGTACACGGGATCTTACGGCAATAATTGGTAAATTGGTTGGTTTTGATTCTTTGGCTGCTGCCACGTCGTGGGTTTCAGATTCGCTTGCGTCATTCTCGGCGCCTACACCTATTGAGATCTACTCAAGGGCGACTTCTGGGACGTCCTTTTCGCAGCTTTTGCCAGCGTAGCCGATCGTGATCTGGCGGTTGGCGCATTGCGGAGGGCGGCCCCCGACCACGGAGGGACAGCAATTTGGGTTTCTCAAGATAAGCCGCCTTCCTTCCGTGCGGCTCGGAACGTTTGTTTTGGGCTGAAATACATTCTCAAAGACGATTTCCACAATCAAATACAACATACAGATCGAGACGAATGAGTTTCCTTTCCAAGTTTCTGTGGGAGGAGATATTGCAGTATCTGTCTCTGTGCATGAATCCCCAGCTTGTATTGGAATGGGGCCCAGATTGGAGAGCATGGGAAGACTTACAACAGCATCCCAAACTCATCGAAGTTATCAACAAGAACACAACACTTCTGGAGCGAGCTGCCGAGGGTATGAAAGGGGCGGCAAACAACAAATCCAAAGGCCAGTAGAAAACACGGCCGGACTCCGGAGCCGGCCCAAAAGATCGTTATGTAATTTTTGATGCCGCCATGGTGGGCAAAGCTACCACTACTGCCAGTACGAATCAGGGCAAAGCTACCGTCGTACAGCGGTCCGCGGTCGTTTCAGCTTCCTTACCAAAACATTTGTTTGGATTACCTCCACCACCTCGTATACCTCTAACTGGGCATCCGCGCGGACAAAGAAATTTTGGAGGGCTTTCACCACCTCGCCTACCTCATCCCGGGCATCCCCGCGGACAAAATATGGAGGGCGACGTGCTCCACCTTGTCATACATCTTCGGCGACTGCGACAACTTCCGCATGATTACTTCCTCCACTACGTCTACCAAATCTTTCTCAACTCCCGCCTCCGCCCGCCCCTCTCCCGCCCCCGCCCCCGCCCGCCCCCCCCCCAACCCTGCAGCTCCATTCTCTTGGCACAGACCCCGTCGTCTATGTGCACCGCGTTGCGTCCAACGTCTGGCCACGTGGAACATCGAGGGCTTGCGCGGCGATTCCATTGTGAATCTGGACGAGCTTACCCTGATGATGCAACGTCATAGGATCGATGTTTTATGCGTACAAGAGACGCATTTGGACGGAGCTGAGCACTATCGAAAAGATGGGTTCGATGTGTTCCTTTCGGGCAATTTGGATGCGGGAACACGGAAGTATACTGGAGTTGGTTTTATTGTGGATCCAAGCGTATCGGCCGCCATTGTTGCCTTCAAAGCCTGCAGCGATCGATTAGCAACGCTTCGAACACGAGTCAAAAATGGTATGCTTACGCTGATTACCGCTTACGCGCCTCACGGTGGCGCCAACCACGACTTCGAGGCCCGGCAAAACTTCCACAACGAGTTGCAGGCCGTAATCCGGGCCACTACTTTGCACAGTGCCACACTCATCCTTGGTGACTTCAATATAAAATTGCACCGAGCACGACTAGGAGAAGACGATTTTATTGTACCGTACGTCTTCAACCCATCCTTCAACATCGCGGACTTGGCCGGAAATCTGATGGACACCATTTCCAACAGACAATTGCTTCTTTAACGTGTGATCTTGTACTTGCAAATGCATGGCATGATCATCCAAACGATATGAAAATAATATGTCGAAATGTTGGCACGGAGCCGATGGACACAGACATCACAACATCCAAGTTCTCTCAAATAGATCATGTATTATGTCACCGCAACATACTTTCAAGTGTGACGGACTGCTGGTCAGATCGGACATAATCTTTGAGCAGTCGCCATTTCCTTGCAATTGCGAATACACATATCGAGTTTGACACGCAAGGCAAAGCATGCAAACATCAGCTCGATCTCAAGGCTCTGAGCAACAAAGAAGTCCAGCGCAAATTTATTGCAGAGTTCGTTGATGCATCGATGCGAATACCAAGCACCGACATCTTGGAGACTGCCGCAGAGAACTTGAAGAAGGCTTTTGCTCAAGCATCCGCCTGCCTTCCAGCCAGAAGCACAACAGCAAAGCAACCGTGGACAAGTACATCAACGTTGGACCTTTTCGAGGAGCGCAGTACCTACCGCCAATCTGGGGACTACGCCAACGAAAAAAGACTCCACAAAGAAATCCGGAAATCCGGGAAGCAAGACCGGGAGAAGTGGCTCATGGATCTCACATCCACTGGATCTTGGGACGCAGTCCGACACCTCTGGAAACCCAGGTCCGCAAAGCATACCACAATCAAGCGCCCTGATGGTTCGCTGGGGGGCACCGAAGAGAGGTCGAATATCTTGGCAGACTATTTCGAGAAGACACAATGGGAATACAAGTTTCCAGCTCTTCGGCCAGAACGTGAGGACACATTGGGCAGTACTTTACCTATCGACACAGGGGCCATCAACATGGCAGAGTTGAAAACGGCATTACGAAAATTGACACAAGGCAAAGCCGCTGGAGCTGACGACATACCGCCCGATTTCTGGAAGATACTGGCGAAAGATGGCACTGCCTGCGGTGCACTTCTGGCTATGTGCCGGCAATGCTGGGACCAAAAAACGATTCCAGAGTCGTGGAGAACCGCAAACGTCGTTTTGCTTTTCAAAAAAGGGGATGCTGCACTGCCAGCGAACTACAGGCCGATATCTCTGCTGCCAGTTGGGTGCAAAATCTTGGCGTCTATTTTGCACAACAGGTTGATTCAAGGAAGAGCAGAAGAAAGAATGCGAGACTCTCAATTTGGATTCCGGCCAAAACGGGGTACAGGCGAGGCTCTGATGATGATCAGGCGAATGATCGATGCCGCACACATGAACAACACGGGTGGTATGCTTCTGCTTATGTTGGATTGGTCAAAAGCGTTCGACCGACTCAAACCAGATTGTATGTGCCAAGCTTTGGAAAGGTTTGGTGTACCGCAGTGCTTTGTAAAAATGGTGGAATCAATTTATGCGGCCCCTTATTTCACCATTGTAGATCACACGGGCCACTCGTCTCAAAGGCAGCAGCGCGCAGGTATAGCCCAAGGGTGTCCCCTATCGCCATACTTGTTCATCATCATCCAAACAGTTCTGCTGCACGATGCGTTTGGCGATCTGCATCTACAACAAGAGCCAGCGTATTTGGTATCGCGCGACATTCTGTATGCCGACGACACCCTGCTTGCTTTACAAAGCCCGCAAAATCTTCAAACAATGCTTGCCGCAATAATTGACGAAAAAACGAAATACGGTCTTGAACTCAACTGGGACAAAACATTGCAAATGCAGATTTCTACGAACAACTCCATTTCAAGGCCGTCAGGCGAAAGCATTCAAATTGTACGAGACGCGATTTAACTTGGAGGGTTGATTACGTGCGATGGCAAAGTTGGAGCAGAATTGACACGGCGACTGGGGGAGGCGAGCAGGACATTCAAGCAATTGAACAAGTTATGGTCTCGTACATCGTTTGGGATAAGACGAAAATAGATCATTTACGAGAGCTGTGTATTAAGCAAGTTGTTGTACTCGCTGGATTCTGTTTGGCTGCTCAAATCCGACAGAATGCGTTTGGACGCCTTTCATTGCAAATGTTTGCGCGTCTGCTGGGAATTGCGCCTTCATTCATTTCTCGAGTGAAGAATGCAACAGTATTGGAGAAAGCGTCTGCCAAACAACTCTCGCAAATATTATTGGGCAATCAAGTGGCGCTGTACAAGAAAATAAATAAATTTACACAATGGTCAAAACAATTCTTTGTAATCTGGATGGCACTCCGCGCAATTGG